CAGGTTTCCTGCTACTGCTTCTTTTTTATGTCCACGATCTTTGTTGCTTGTAATTAAACACCAGTGTTGCCTTTGGCCTCTCAACAGTTTGATAATTCAGCCAGAAAACAGAGATTAGAGCAGACCTGCCACAATCAAAACCTATCAACTACTCCTATTGACTCTGAGAAGAAAAAATGTTTGACTCACACATATTAGAAGGTTTATCCAGTGAAGTGAAGCATCTCAATTCTCTGCTTTTGAAAACTGGTATTGAAATCGGCACCTAGCATAAGCCAGCTCCTCTCAGGTATCCTCGTTTCTGTGTTTTTAGAAATCCTGGCTAATGAGAAAACTAATGGCAAGTTTATACTGCAGCTTATTGTTAAATTCTTCCCAGTTGCTACCAATGGCTTAGAATCCCAAGAGCAGCAGTCAGAGGTTTTGGGTAATCAGTTCTAGTTTGTTCCCTCTCCACCTCTGCAGTACCATAAAACATGTCACTGGGATTTGTAAGTCTTTACAGGCAAGGTCAGCAAGGTGACTTCAATGTGTAATTATTTTTAAGACACATACAGATATTCCCACGCAGTTGACATCAGTGTTTTACTAGGACTCGAGTGGGATTCCTGCCAGCAAATTCAGTAAGCACAGACCTGATCTCCTTAGAAACTAAAATGTGAAATTCATTACCAGATTTTGAGTTCAAAAATATGTGAACCTATTGAAAGCTGTAGGTTTCATTTTTATGGTGTTTATAACTATGAAATACTGTAAGCAATAAAAAATTATTTTACTTAAAACTAGGAATTCACTTATCCTACCAAACAAAGCACAACTGAGGGAAGTCAATGGACTTTTCTCTCAAGGTTAGATGGCCCTTTCATTTAAAGAAGTATGAAAAGGAATACTGTTGTATTTCTGCCAGCTGCATGTGCTTACCACACACAAAAGTGGTGACTTTCTTGTAGTCACAGAATAATGAAAGAGTTGTAGCTGCTGGAGAGACTTTTGAAGAAACTGCACCAAAATAAAGAAGCCTGCCTTTGTCAAGAGACAGGCTAAATGTATAAAAATAGAAATATATAGGTCTGGCTGTATTTCCTGATTTTTTGTACCATGCAAAGCTTGGAAAAATTAATAGACAGATAAACACATTGTAGCTATGCTGAGTTTCTAAGCAATAGCTAAAACAACCTAGAAAAGTCATATAAGGAGTGCAAGGAGAAAACATGCTACAGGTAACAGTGACCTACATGTGAGCAGTGGAAAAACCATTTATCCTAAAGATACTAAGAGGCAGGTGTCCATAAATACAAACTTTTGAGGTAAGAGAATACTTAAGTGTTTCAGTATAGTGCTTTAGTATATCATCAGTGGTAGTTTTTGTAGGATTCATAATTCTTAACAATGAATCTGACTCAATAGTTTTAAAATAAAAGTAAATACAATAATACTCAACCCAAGTTCAAATGAGAAACAAAATACTGGTGCATTTTCACTAGAGGCTCCACTTAGATACATATGCCCACAGGAAAAAATGTTGAAGAACAGCTGTCTCAGAACTGCACCACAGCCCCAGCCCTAGAAATTTTCAGCTGTCAGGGCCTGAGGGTAACTTTTCAGTGCAGCCTGGCTTACAATGAAACAAACAGATCCTGTTTCCAGGGTTACAATTATCAGCTAAATAAATAGAATTTTTTTAACTTATCTACTAAACACATCAGTGGCAAAACCGCAATTGCTTAAGATAATGAACCAAATACAGGTGTGTCAGTGTGCAGCCAGTCATTTCTGGAAGAAAGTATATCCAAGAGGTGGAGTAGAAATTAAGCAGAATGATTGGAGAAGCCTAACACACTCCCAGGAATGTGACTTGAAACAGAGCAAAAGAGAGCTGCAGTGCCCCTCTGCTGAAATGGGAATGATTTATTATTTTGTTATTTCCTCTCTCCAACCCCCCCCCACAATTAAGATCTTTTTATTTCTGTGGTATTTGCCTCGCATACAATTTGAGGCAATTAATTCTCTTCTGTTGCAATATTAAGTATGTTAAAAGTCTAATACTAGGAGATGGCTTCTCACAGGTAGAACTCCATGTTAGTTGAGAGCTCAATCCTCTTACGGTTTCAACCACAACTTTTGCAGCAACTTCAATGAGACCAAGACTCTCAGTCTTGGAACACATCTTCAGTGTGCCAAAAAAGGGTTTGCCTCAATTTTTTTTTAAATAAGACAACAACAATCAGCTCTATAATAGAGCTGAAAATATGACTCAGCTCATTAAGAAAAATAGACTAACCAAAATACTGATCAAGTTCAAACACACATCCTCCTCCTCCACCAGGAAAAGTCGATTCCTTTATCTGGCATCAACTAGATAACATCTAAATTATGGAGGAACCACTGAATAAAAGAATTTACTGAACCCAAACACCAGTTGATTCTTGCATCAAACTAAAGTCACATTTTTCATAAGTACTTTCCCCAGATTTTTGGAAGAAAAAACAAAAACTTTCATGATGTTGTCCTGGGGTGACCCTTAAACCAGGACAGATATCAACTTCTATTGAGATCCATGAATGACTACATAGAGAAAATGGCAGAATTCCCAAAAGGAGTTCGTTAAAAAATTCCTAAACCTTCTAAATGCCCTTAGAGAAGCTAGGACTATTCAGATAACTTTGGAATGATATGCCTAAATATCAATTTTTATTTCTAAATCAAATCCAAGCTTCATATCATCATTTAAAGTACATTGAAATTTTAAATTGTCATGGATGAAAGTAATGGGGGAAATTTGGAATTTTTAGTGAAGCATGTATTTCTGTAGCAGTATAGAAATGTCAATATAGCCTTTGAAATAGGTAACTCAAAAAAGGTGAATCAACAGGAACCAAATGGCAACCTTCTCTGCTCATTACATCAATTGACAGTATCAATGTGCATTTACTTTCAGGTGATATAAAAACATGTCCAGTATTAATAATAAAATTATTTGAATTTTTGGGCATTGATTTTGGATGACCTATACCTAAAGAAATAATGGAAGAAATTTTCCAGTATCTTCAGACAGGCTCTGATGAATTTAATTTTTCATGATGTAGTATCTTCTAATATATTCAAAATAAAAAATAGCATAATTACAAAAATTCTTATCTAAGTTAGACACTGATTGTGGTTAATGATGATGGTTCCATGATGTACAAGTTAACAGGGAAGACCCACAGGATTGAAGTTGCACATACATCAGAGAACCCTCAAATTCTGGGCACGAGTCTTCTGCTTAGCTTCCCAAAACTGCTACACTGACACAGATCAAAAAAAGGGCATCTTCCTATACCCAGCCTTTCTTCCATTCCTATTAGCCCAATGCCTGTACAAATGCTTCTAACAGTGTAACTTCTTCCATTGTATGAACTATAACAAATACACAAGTATAAAACACAATGCCTGCATGAAGGTTTATAATGGCAGTGCCAGAAAACAAACAAAAGCAACAAAACTAAGCAAACAAACTCCTCCACAAAAAAAAAACCTCAAACAAAACCCCCCCAAAAAACAACACCTCACAAACAAAACTGAAAAAGCAAACAAGTGTACTGGTAAGTTATTTTAAAAAGTACATCAGTCCTTATCAGCAAATAACAGGCTTAGACTCTTTTCTAGCTGTAGTCAATAGACAACACTGCTCTTTTTCTAACCTAAGTACAGGAAAGTCTTCAAAGAAGTAAAGCAATTAATAACTGGCTTCAAACATGAGTAAGCTGTATTAGCAAAGTTCAGAGGAATTCAATTTAACATTTAATCCAGACTAATTCATCTGGTTCCCATTACAATTAGCAAATTACTGTATAAAACTTTTGCTTACAAAAAGATAACTTAGTTTCTTTAGACTATGAAGGAAAGCCATTCATCATAAAGGGGACTGTAAACTTAATAAAACTTATTTTATTAAAACTTGAAAAGGAAACTTTTAAAACGTGCCTTTTGCAACACATATTTCTCCATGCAAGAGAAGGTTCTCACACTGCTGAGCTGTTTTCACCTCTGTGAGCAGACTGACAGTTAATCTGAATAATTTTGTCCTATTCTGGGCTTCCTATCTGTTTTCATCCTTGTGTTTCAGTATTGCTGGAATGAGAGCAGCTGTGAATGGGCATGTTACTACCAGCATGTTTTCTGAAGGATCTGGACGTGGCCTGCTCACAGCCTAAACAAGACTGCTCTTACTATGAAAAAAAGGAAAAATAACAATTTCATAACTATTCTGTCAGTATTTAGCACCTTATTTTCAGTGACAATTTTCATCATTTGTCTATGAGTTTATCTTCTTCATTCCATAAAGGTTTATTCAAAGGGAGTGTAAACTGCAGATGAAGTTACATTTTATAATTGCTTTTTTTTTCCTTCCAACGTACAATTTTACATTTTTTGCGGAGGCTAAATTTTGTTAACACTTCTGAAATCACATCATGTGCAGTAACTAAAATAGCCATCTGTCCTCCTCCAGACTCTAGCTTGCTATACTCCAAAGAAGGTGAAAGTTCAGGAAGAGAAGGCAAAAATTATTTTAAGCTGTCTTAATTTCCTTCCAGGTTTAGACAACCAAGGAGAACTCATCTTTGTTGTGAACTACACTTTTGAGTAGCCTACAGGCAGGTTTGCATCTCAAGAAAGCACTGAGACAAGAACTGTTTACCTCTTGTCCCATATCCAAGATAAGAATTTCTATAAAGCTGTAGAAGGGGAATAATGCACCAGGTCTGTGCACATCAGATCCTGAAAAATATGTGAATTTCTATGAATAATTTTTTAACAACAAATGTTTTCTGTACCTAACAATAAAGAAACAGGTAAATTGGAATCTACCACTTTATTTTGACCTTTATTCAGTAATTTTCTGATAAAATTTTCCATCCAAAACTTCCTGCCTTGAAATAAATGAGGAATATAGACTGCAGCATCACAAAGAGAAAGTCATAGTTAAAAATAAGCTGAAACAAAATGACAAACAGAAGTTGTAGTTTTCATGGGCTATAATTGACAGAGTTCCCAGTGTGTTTATTTAGGATGCACTCTAGTGGACACACATATAACAAAATCAAACAAAGATACAAACAGTATGAAATGATAAGAAAATGAAAGCAACATGTCATTAGAATTAATTTCTAGTATATTTTAAAATAGTATCTTACATTTTGAAGGCTCTATGAAAGTTGAAATTTTCATGGTCAACATGACTGGACATTAAATGTAAACGGACGAAGAGTTACCAGTTTTTGGAAGTGTTAATCTAAATATTAAGAATCATATACATATTGGTTTAAAAGACAAACTCCATCTTTTTATCCATTTACTCCTTTGAGATTGGCCCAAGAGGCTGCTGGGAATGCAGTGTTAACAGGTGTAATTAGAACTGTGGTGTCAAAGCGTGTCCTTAAATTATTCCATTTTAACTGTTACTAACAAACATAATCGTAAACTGTCAAAATCTGTCTACTAAAACATCAACCACAAGAGTGTATTAATGCCACAGGAAAGGTTTTGATGATCACAAAAACTGCAAACCAATCAGAATTATTGTAGATAACAAAGCCTGAATACTTAGACACAAAAGCAGTTCCATTTTTTCATGACACCAAAAGTTACACAAACATTTCTAAGTACTTATACCTAGTAAGTGACATTTTCCTCTTTTGACTTTAAAGATGCTCATATAGATGTGGCTATTAGCATCCAAAAAACAATGTAGTAATAAAATGAGCACAGGATTCTTTTAATAAAGGTACTTTATCTTTAAGGAAAAAAAATAATATATTACTATATGAAAAATCAATAGTGTTCATGTTTTTAAAATTTGGTAAGATTATTCTTAGACTGATCTACATGATCAAAACAAGTTATTCAGAGCAGGAAAATATTTATTATGTGATTGACCCTTGTCTGTTGGGTGAATAGATATTTTTAACAGTTTGCCAAGCACAGCAAACCCCTTAGACTCAGCTATACTATTAAAAAATTGAAGTGAAATTATGAGAAAAATCTCTTTCATCCCAAGACTGAAGAATGCAGTGAATGCATTAACCATGTACTGATTTTGTAATGAAAGGTATTTTCAATATTGGCCATGACCATCTAACCTGTAGCAGAAGACAGAGATGTAAAGGCACATGTTATTGAAGAAGCACAGGATTTCTTAATGTTGATGTCTTTTCCATTTGTCATGAAGAGACACAGAACATTCTTAATAACCTATACCAAGATATCAGTGATTACAAACATCTGTTCTTGTAAAAATGCATTTTTAAGGATTATAGAACTTATTTTTATGGATAACCATGGATCGAGCTAAATATTCTTCTAAATTTTTAGAAATTAAGTTTTGAGAAATATATAATGGTACTTAGTAGAGAACATAGATTTGATTTCTTGGCTTACAAATTCAAGCAAAATGCAGAAAAGATTAAAAATGTTACTAATCAAAACTAATATGCAGACACAGTTTACCTTGTACCACACAATACCTAATAATAACTATAATATTAAATATATTTATCTAATAATAAAGCCTAGAGCAAACACCTCATGTTACAAAGACCACCTCACTTCTAGGAGACAAGATCTTCTAGTATATACTGAGTCAGAGTGAAATTTACCTCTTTCAAATACATTTGGGAAATCTGATTGGATTTTTGCACCAGGTTTGATGTCCAGAATACTCTCTCCATCTTTTAATCTGTGGAGCATCCCCTTTTTCTATCAGAAACCATGCAAATTTTTGGAAAATCATTTTCAGTAAGATTTTATTCTTTTGATTCAAATTACCATATTGTAGCATCTATCCTCAAATCATATTGACATATTAGTTATATTTGTATTTATTATGGTTACTTTGATATGCAATAAGTAGAAAATATATTTGCTGCAGTTTTCTTCCTGCAAGTCAGCCATGCTAGCTACAATGGTTTAAAAACAAAAAGAATTAGTGTCAGAATTAAGAGACTTTATACAAACACCTTAGAAAAAGACACTGGAAAAACAGGCATGTTACTCAGTTCTATTTATAAAATACATAAATCAAGATACTACACTTGAGGATCAGCAAGTAATGAGCAGAAAATATATTTACTGCTTTCAGGCCAGTTCTAACTTTCTTCTTCTTCTTCTATTACTGTTGGGAGATCTGTTTGACTCTGAAAAACAACAACAAAAGAATTCTATCACTTATCAGCATTCACTGAACTTTGTAAAAAGGAAAATGGGAAAAAACTGCCCATGATAGACAAGTTGTTACTTATCAGTATAAGCATGTATTCTTCCATTCAATAGAATGAATAAAATGAATGTTATCACCAGATTTCTATTATAAAATCCAGCAAATTTGGATGAAGCATTGTGATTCTGAGGGCAGAATCAATAGTGCAAGCCTATATGTCTTATTTTATCAATCTGTTCTTAATTTGTAACAAATGTATCACTGTAAAACGTGAAATAACATCCCCAAAGGCCAATGTAGTCTAATGCCTTTAGGCATGAAAACTTGGCACATGTAGGAAGCAGCAGGTACTACTGACGACTCATTTTCACTTCTGGTTTTGCAATTTTCTTAATAAGAACCCATAAAATAGGCCCAAAGCCTCAAGAATATTTTTAAATATGTAATTATCAGAAAATTATAAAAATTTGGGCTATATAAGATATTGCTACACATCTGATTTACCTCAGTGGAAAAAACACCTGTGAGAAGCTGACCCTAAGAACAGTCACAAGCATTTTCAAAAATCTATTGAGAGAACACTTCTGAAACAGGCTGCTATTAAACCAACCTTAAGAATGAAACATATTAATAGAACAACATAAATTCTGAGCTAGAATTTCACTACTGATACCAGAAATTATTTAGTACTCATTGTACATAACTGTTCATACAGCACAGAAAGGCTGCTTCCTCCTTAAAGATATTCATGCTTTAGTCAGTAACACATTTGAATACAAAAGGGTATTTTAAATCTTGAGGATTTAGTAAGCTAATACCACAGAGTCTTCTAGAATGGCTGAACTCCTTTACCAGAATGCAGCTATGGGCAGTTGTGGCCAAAATACCATCCCTTAAACAGTTTTAACCTCTGATAGGTCAGCAGAGAAAAGCAAATCTGTAACAATCAATCATTAATAATCTCTTTCTAAATACTGACCAGTTCACTTGCATCTGGCCCCTCAGAAGTAGGTGTTCCAGGTCTATCTGTAATTTCAGATATTGTGTTTTCATCTTCCTGTGGCAATGAAAACCAGTTTTCAGTTAAAATGTCCCATGTTATGAAATCACATTTCAGGTGTGTTAAAATGACATTATGTATTAATATAAAGAGAATACTTTAGATAAGTGCTATACAAATTTAGTAGTATGGGAATACAGTCTTTGTATGCTTAGCCCTACTTTTTATATATTTTTTTTAATTAACAGCAATTTAATTCTTTTCATATTCATTGTTTCTGTCGCATTCATACTCTCATCATCCTACAATAACATTCTGTCAGTATTATAAGAGAGTTTTCTAAAAACTTAGTATTTATAAAATACTCTGTGGTCCACAGAGTACTTGAAAGCTTTAGGGAGATAAACATGCCAATTACCCATGTATGTTTTTAAGGAAGCAGCATTTAAAGACCACAAACACAAATATCTGTATATGCATTCTTCTGTTAGTATAAATTCCCATACACCACTAAGATATAGGAATCCAGAGGCACTGTAAATCCAAAGCACAGATCTTTTTCCAGGTACAGTAAATGGATTTTGTGCTAACACCCTGTGAAACATTACTGTCTTGATACTTAAATTAGACATGCTTATTTTATAAAACTTTCTAATAAATACCATCAAGGAATGTGGAAGAATCAGGAAGGAAATAAACTGACCTTATGCTGGATTTTTGCAATAAATTTATGTTTTCTTCTGACCAAAATTCAAGTATAAAACCCAGACTGCAAAAGCCAAGCATAGGACATTTCCCCCTATCTACACTCCTGTTTCTTTAATTGTGTGTTAATTCAACACCCATGGACTTCTGCTTTCTGCTTTGTAACTGATGACTGCATCAGGAAAAAGTGGCTGATAAATGGCATTTTCAAACCACCAACTAAACATTGGGTTAAACCTCTTGATCCTCCTGCTCCAACTGCTTTTCAGCTTCTTCAATCTGTGCTTCCAACTCTGCACGTTCTTTCTCCAACTGAGCCTGCAATCAGTTTAAGAATGGTCAAATTAGAAAGAAAAAAACCCCACATTTATCTTTTTCACCACTTTGTTTACAATGAATTTATTATTGAAATAATAAATAAAAAGTAAGCATAAAACATAGCTGCTATGTTAATAACAAAGTCCTTTCAGTACCATCTGGTTTAACATTTTCAAAGGTTTGAGACTCTTATGGATAAAAAGGCTTCACTACCAAGAGGAAGAATAAACAGTTAACTGAAGTTAGTATACACCCTTCAGATCCTGTCTTATTACACACACTCTGTATCAGTTATCTCCTATCCTTTGGATTAAGCTCTTTGATACTTTGTGAAGTACCAAGCACAGACGGATGAATCAATATAGAATCAAAACTATAGAAAAATTTGGCAAGCAGTGTCATTAATGTTAATCATGTCCATCATCCAACCTTTTCTATTTACAACAGGAAACATCTAACAGGAAGTGTTTATTAATTGTGAACGTAAGTCCTATCACATCAAAACTTCAGAAACTGCATAATCTAAGTATCTACATTTACAACTCTAGAAAATACTGTTTGCTCATTTATTTAATCCTCAGTGAATTATCTCTACACACAATCTCTATTTTCATTTACTATTTTACATCACTCATGAAACCCTTAAGCACATTATGTTTTGTTTGCAAATTATTAAACTCCAAATTTTAAAACTGCAAACGAAATAAAATGAATGCATCTTACACTAGAGCTGGGCGTAATGTGATCAGCATAAATTTAAAATTAAGCTTTTGATTTTAACATAGTGAAAGTCATCCATACAAAAAAATCCAGTTAGGTCACATCAACATCACCACAGCAACACTGAGTTCACACGACTCTTTTATAAAGAATGGCTAGAAACATAGATACTGTATTTATTTCTCGTATTATAAGCTCAAACAGTATTTTCAGTTACTTCTCACATAAGTCCTAAATTGGCTGCTTTTTACCTTAATAGTCATCATTTTTTAATAATATTTTACTACACAGTATGTAAGTTTTCCTACCCATGTGCTGATTAGTAATTTCAGAAAAGTGATATAAAAGTGAGCATTGCCTAGAATTATCTCTTATTAAGTATTCATAACCTGACGTTGTTCTTCAAGTTTCCGCTGCTCTTCCTCCTGGATTCTCAACCTTTCAAGTTCTGCTAGAGCTGCCTCCCGTTCTTTTTCCAGCTCAGCTCTCTCCAGCACTCTCTATTTCAGAGGTAATAGAGAATCAATTGAACATAAAAATGAAAGATATATTAAATAGTGTCAACTATATTGCCGCAATCTTTTTTATGCCTAAGTTGGATCCACCTTTTTTTCTTCATCTAAGCTTCTTCTGTAATTGTAAATCCAGTGTGCAAGATACTCGATGGGATCTGCTGGCCGATGCTCTACAACCTCTGCCAGCCCCTTCTTCAAGCAACTTCCCAGGCATTGCTTCAGATACTGAGACTCCATCCAAATCTACAGACAATAAGCAGACAGATATTGGACATCAATATCAGAATTAAGTTAGGGGGTTTAAAAATTCTTGCTTCAGGCACCAAACACTGACTCTGATATTACTTTTACTAAGCTTGCAATTTATAAAGGTTATTTTAATAGTGGTTTAGTTCTTAAAAGTTCCAGTGACAGGTCAGTTATATCAATCATTGCAGAAAAAAAAAAATGCTCAAACCCCACCTTACAGTTTAGACATGAATAATTCACAAACTACTTGGAAACATGCTGCTAATTCTAGGTCTGCATGACAACAAAAACAAATAAATTGAGAACCACAACAGGACAGAGAAAACTTTTACACAGATACTCGAAGAACAGGGGAGTAGTTCTAAGGACGACTAAAGGGTTTTTTAGTTTGAACTGTCAAAACAACTTTTAAGATTTGTCTGCAAGGCGAGGGCCTGAAGCACTCACTCTACAGTTCCAAAAAGCACAGATCTCCGTGCACACACTTTATTAGCCCAGGTTAAGTAAACACGAGCCCTCCTTTGCTGTCAAGGGGGCTGAATCCGTGTAGGGCAGCCGTAGCAGAGAGCCCGGGCACTTGGCACAGCAGCGGATCCTGTCCCATCCTCCCCCTTCACGGCGGCCCCGGGTGACCTTAATGGTGCCCACCCCCTTAACCCAGAGCCCTCTTGCCCGGGCTCCACATGAGCACAGGCTGGGCCTCTCCCCTTCCCCTTCCCCTTCGCTCCGGGAGGGGCGGGCCCGCTCCTTATCCCTACGCCTGCTGTTGGGGATCCGGGCAGGGCCCGCTCCTTATCCCTACGCCTGGTGCTGGGGATCCGGGCAGGGCCCGCTCCTTATCCCTACGCCTGGTGTTGGGAATCCTTCCAGGGCCCGCTCCTTATCCCTACGCCTGCTGTTGGGGATCCGGGCAGGGCCTGGCCGGTCAGCCCGTCTCGCCCCGCGCTCCGTGCCAGTCACTGGCAGCCGGTGCTGCCGCTGCCCTGCTTCTGCCGCCGCGGGGCTGCGCTGTAGCCG